TACACAGGGAACTTAACTGCAAAAAAAAAAAAAAAAAAAAAACCAACAACAGAAAAACCCCACCAAATTTTAAATGGACAAATAAGCTGAACAGAGAACTCTCCAAGGAAGACATACAAATGGTCAAAGAGTGTAGAAAAATGCTCAACACCTCGTATCATAAGGGAAATGCAAATCAAAACCACAATGAGATGACACTTAACCCAGTCAGAATGGCTAAGATGAAACAAATAAAGAATAATACGTGCTGATGAGGTGTCAGTGAAAAGAGAATTGTTCTATATTGTCTATGGGAATGTAAATTAGTACAGTCACTGTAGAGAACAACATGGAAGTTCCTCAAAAACCTACAAACAGAACTATGATATGACCCAGAAACTCTTGGGTATCCACCCAAAGGATAAGAAAACAGTCAGAAAAACACTTGCACATCCATATTTGTTACAGCATTACTCACAATTGCTAAGATAATGGAATCAAACCAAATGTCCAAGGACAGATTAATGGATTAAAAAAATGTGGCACATATACACGATGGAATACTTTTCAACCACACATAAAAAAGAATGAGACCCTGGCATTTGATACAAGTGGACAAATATGAAAGATTCAATGCTAAGCAAAGCAAGCCAGACTATGAAATAGAGGCATTGTATGTCCCCACTTAATACATGCTGAATATTTGCGCTTTATGGCAGAAACTAAAAGATTGGAAGATATAATAACAAGGAGGGCAACTGTAGATATTAGAGATGGGAGCCACTGGGTAGTAGGGAGTGGGAGAAAGAAGATTAGGGGAAAAAATCAGATACAAAAATAAAAAGTTATTGATAATGTATATCGTAATATTTTTGACTTTACTAATATGTGCTGAATTTGGGAAAACTATTTTGTATGTTTTAAACATGCACAGTGACTAAATGTAACAAAAAGAGTTTTAAAAAATAAAGATTTAATATTTGCCCTCTTGGATTACAAACTTTCTTGGGACTTGTTACTACTTTCTTCTTGCAAAATGAAAATTTCTACCCTGTATCTATCTCACTATTGTATTTTTTAAGTATATAATTTGTTTTGATTTCACAGACTCACAATGTGATTTTGGACTTTTGATCTGGTGTTGGGATGAGTTAAAAATTTGCGACTATTTTTTATGTAAAGGGGATATGAATTTTGGAGACCAGGGTAGAACGCTATGGTTTGCATGTGTTCCCTCAAAATTCATGCATTGAAATTTGGTTGTAATGGGATTAAGAGGGTGGAGAATTATTCATTCATGATATTGAAAGGTGAGGTCTTTGGGAAGTCATTGTGATTAAATGAGGTCATTAAGGTGGGTCCCCATGATTGACTCCTGGTAGCTTTACAAAAAGAGCAGACAAAGGGACACAGAGATACATGAACACTCTTGCTGTGTGATACCATGTGCCACCTCAGGACTCTGCAGAGAGTCTCGATGAACAAGAATATCCTTATCATATTTAGAACCTTGGCCTTGGACTTCCAAGATCAGGAGTTAAATAAACCTCTACTCCTTATAAATTACCCAGTGTGGCATTTAGTTGTTAGCAACAGAAAAATAAGCTGCAATAATTATGTATATTTTAGAGATAGTATTAAATTACATTAATCCCTAAATTGGTGACTTAATTTTATAGTAGGGGAGAAAGGGCAGATGGTTTAAAAATTACCCTCAACAGATAACTGAATATAAATACACATTTGGAGTATAGGAGGAAACCCCTGTGATTTTCATAATGTAAAATAAGCTAAAGGCTCATAGGGCCTTGGTGGGTGAGGATGCTGTGGAGATAGACTGTAGCTTCTAAGTAGTGGTGATTTCCTATTAGGAGTGGGGATGAGGATCTCAAGTCAAAGTAGACTCTTGGAAAGAAGAGAGCTGGCCTGAGATTTTTTTTCTCAATTTCTTTTTCTTTTTCTTCTTTTTTTTTTGGGGGGGTGGGGTGGGGTGGGGCTTTTTGCCTTATGGTGCATGTGTTCAGCAGAGAGAGACAGTGATAGTGAAAAGGAAAGTGAGAAATCACCCCACAGGGGGCATGGCCACAGCACAATCCCTTCTCCTCTATTCCCCTCCTGGGATCTTGGGCACACACACACACCTGGTGTGTTTCAAGCCACTGGGTCTGAGACTCGAACTGCGATCAGCCATGTGGGAGTCCAACAATGTCACTGCTATGCCATCTGCTGGTCCCTCAATTTCTTTTCAATCTATTGGCATCAGGATTTAGTCTTCAACATTTACTGAAACTGCTCTTGTGGTTATCAAAGTTGTTCTTTTTGCCAACACAGTGCTCTAGGAAATATGGTCTATGCACTCGCCCATGCACTTCCTGTGAGGATGAAGCTCACCCCCAGCCTTTGCAGGACCTGGGTTAGGAGTACAAATAAAAGCCCATATACCATGTGTCTAAATATTTTAAAGTTATAAACGAAGCTAATTAGTGTTGAATAAAATATTTTTTATTCCTCATTTTGACAAATTCACACACTTTTTGGATTTCTGCTCTAAAATATGGCCATGAAGGCAAATGTGGCCTCAAGCTTCCTGTCCCCAATGTCCTGTTGCTCATATCTTTTCATCCCAGCTCTTGGCCACACCACAGGGTCCTAGTACATGCATAGCAGGTACCCCAGCTTGATGGATAGGTTCTAGCCACCCCACCTCCTTCCCTGTGGCCACCTTTCATAAGCATAGAAATCACCCTCAAGAGGAAGAGTCAGTTTAAAAACTTGCATAGTCATTGAAAGTGGGCCCAGAATCACTTGGACAGGGCATTCCAGGTCTAGAAGAGGGAGTGTGGGTGTGGGCCTGGAGTGAGCACATCCCCCAGGCCTGCACACTCCTTTCTCTGGGGGGAGGGCATGCCTGAAGAATGTTGGATGCTAGAGTAAGGACCCCTCTGGCCCAGCTAGAATGGTGGTACTGCTCAGGACAGGCACGGGATACAATTTAGGCACCTTTACTCTGTTAGCTCTTTTACTGCCCACCCAATCCTTCTTCCTTCTCAGACCGAAGTTTAGATGACCATCCACTGTGCCCACATATATCAGACTACCTCTCATAGTATCTGACATCTCATTAAACTGCCATGCCTTTGGGCTTTTAGAGCTCTTCAAACTTTAACTAAACAAATATTTGAGTTTCTTCTACACTTGGATGTCACAAAGTAAATATAAATAAGAAGCCTTTAGACCTTCAAGGAACTTCTCATTTAATTAGCCAAATAGGCACATGCCAAGCCACAATATGAGGGAGAATGTGATCAGTTATTGGAGTTCAGAAGAGAGGGCTCAGGAAAGTTCACAAAACCAAAGTGGAGTTTGAAATGGACATTGAAGAACCCATAAAAGACCAAGGCGAGAAGAAGGATGCTCCTGGGAGAAGGGATAGCATGAACGAGGGCACGGCAGAAGGCACTTGTAGCATATATTCAAGGAGGAGTCCTGTTTAGTGTTAAGACAGTGCAGGGGAATGTGGTAAGAGTGTAAAATGGAAGTACAAGGGAAGAGTGTGTATTTAATTCAGTAGTCTGTGAGAATCATTGAAGATTTGGGGGAAGGGTAATCCTATGATTAGAGTAGAGCTTTAGGAAGATTAAGCTGGAGCTGTGTGCAGGCTATGTGAGAAAGTGGAAAAGACAGTTAAGAGGTGATTGTGCATCCTTTTCTTTTCTGTGTCCTGATATCTCTCTGGGAGAGACTGCCATTGATTCTGAGCTGCTGAATGCAGTTCTAAAACCTGCATGACTCGGCCACTGGGTAGATCAAGTTCTAAGTGAGGATAAATGGGAAGAGGTAGCGAGGAGCCATTCTACTATTTTGTGGCTGATGTCAGAGAAACTTAGGACGGATGGAATAGCTAAATTGGATGGTGGTCAATGAGGAGTTTGAGGTATGGTGCTAAGTATATCAGACATCAGTAGGATTTTAAAGTGGAAGTTTCCAGGAGACAGCTGTAAACAAGAGAACTCAAAATGAGTAAATGGTTCAAAGAGTTGGTTTTTGTTTTTGTTTTTGTTTGTTTGTTTTTATAGAGGTTTTTGCTATAGGGCACATGCACTTGCCAGAAAGACAGAGACAGAGGGACAGAAAGCGAGAAATCACTCCCCCAGGGGGGAATGGCCACACTGCAGTCCCTTCTCCTCCATTCTCCTCTCGGGATCTTGGACACACACATACATGCCTGGCGTGAAATTTAAGTTACTTGGTCCAGGACTCAAACTGTGGTCAACTACATGAGAGTCCAGCAACATAACCATTATGCCAACTGCTGGTCCCATAGTTTCAAGAGTTTTTATTTAAGAGTTAAAAGTCAAAATATTGGGAGTAAAAAAAAACTAAACAAAGAGAATGTATGGACTGCCCCCCTAGTGTAGTAGTTAAGGGAACCAGATCCCATGTGGCCAACCACAGTTCAAATCCCAGCATTGGATGGCTTGATTTACCATATGCGTGTGTGTGTCCCAAGTCCCAAGAGGATGGAGAGATGGAGAGAGGATTGCAGCATGACTATGTCCCATTGGTGGATGCTTTCTCTATCGATCTCTTTCTTTCTTTGTCTTTTTGTCTACTCCTGCTCACCAGGAATAGACAAAGGGAGGGAAAAAGAAAGAAAGGAAAGAAGAAAGAAAAAAAGAAAGAGAAAGAAAGAATGGAAGGGAAGGTAGTAATAAAAATAAACTTTGGAGGTGCTTGCTTTAAGATTCCATATTCATAGGCCAACACATGTAAGAGGGTGATACCTTCAGCCCTTAAGAATCAACACCTCACCCAACAGGAGAAGTGGTAGTTCTGGCCTGGAGTGGAAAGAACAGTACTAGCCAGAAGAGGGGAAAACCTCTAACATCTCACATGGCTTCCATCCTTGTCTTGCCCTAGGTATTGCTTTGCAATCAAATCCATCCAGAAGCATCAGAGCTGGAGCTACCCAGCAGTCAACTACCTGTGGCCAATGCAAAGTGTTTCTCCATTGTACTTACCTGGGAAGAAGATAAGTAACCAGGGCCAGAAGTTCATGGTTCCTCCCAGAGCAAGATTCCATCCAAAAGCCCCAGAGAGGAGGACAGAGACCCACTGCTCACCCCTGAATTTTTCACAATCTGAAGCTTGAAAGAGCTTTCTGGACCCCCTTGAAGAACAAGACTCAAAAATGAGGAAATGACTACCTGTGTTGTTTGCTAACTACTCTTGGGCTAAAAAAGAAAATACCAGCAAACCACAGCGGAAGTTGAGATTTGAGAAAACATATTGTGCTGAGTGAGAGCGGGTCACCAGGGTATAAAGGGCCTCTAGGAAGCTCCTCAAGACTCTTAGCAACCACCAGGCCTGACACTTCTTTGCTTTGGCATTTTTTTCTTGGGAGGACTTCCATGCCTATGTGCATTAATGGAGTCCTGAGTAGAGTCATTTGCTTCATGCTGGTGTTCATCAATTTCCCCCATCTGACGAAACTGTATGGGCAGAAGCTTGGGCTGGAAGTTAGAAAATGCTAGTTGGGGTCCTTATTGTCACTAGTTAACTCATTTTAATAAATATTTTTGAGTACCTACTATGTGGGAATGCTAGCTATGGGTTTTGAGGAATTCACTACTTTTCTCTAAGCCTCAATTTCTTTACCTAGAAATAAAATGAAGGTGGGACTAGGCATCTGTGGCATTTTCTCCTGCAGAACCTTATTCCTGTGGCTTGACCATGGCTCTCCCGGCACCTCAGTCCTCTACATCCCTCATCTCCCCTATGAGCTGTTGTCCTCTGGTAAGGTCCCAGGCTTCTGTCCAGTGACCACAGGAACAATGCCAGGAGTAGCATGCGACTATTACACAACAACTCTCCCTGAAGTCACTGCAGCCTGGCAACACCATCCTTTGGGGCTCCGAGAGAGAGGCCATGGCCTGATGGAGAAGAGATTATGCTAAGGCCTCCAGTCGTTATAAAATCAGAAGACTGGGTCCCAGTCCTGGTGTGGTGCTTCAACTTTGAGCAAGCTTTCCTGGGCCGCAGTTTCCTCATTGACCAAATAGGATGTCCTCTGCCTGCCTTCCTCACCTGGCTTTTGTGAGGTCCAGCAGAAATCCCTGATCTGGAAGTGCTCTAAGGGCCCTTTAATGTGGACAGGTGCAGGGTTGTTACTTATTAGAGGATTCCCAGGGCTTCACTCCTGGATGTTTCATTCCTGGATTCCAGGGCCCCACCACCAAGTGCTCCAGCCTCCTATGCCCCAGGGGACTTGGGCAATTCTCACAGTTTCCACTAACAGAGCCCCAGACTCCTCAGCGGTTGTGTGTACACCACTCCCATTCGCCCCCGCACACCAGATTTGTCACACAGAACAACATCTGAAGTGGAAGTTGAATGTGAGGCTCATAGCAGGTGCAGAGGAAGCACGCACAGGGGCAAGCAGCCTGCCCTGCTCACCCCTCTCTGCATTTTCCCTGCAAGGCAGCTGTGGCTGTGAGGGTCTCCAGCCATCAACGGGCCAGGCATCATGGGGCAGCCCTGGGCCTCCAGTTAGAGCCACTGGCTGGCCGAGG